CGCCCTCCTCACCGGGCCTCCTCCTGAAAACTTCCCCATCACCCCCCACCCCCGGAGTGCTTGGGCACCCTTAAGTCTCCTCCCGGGTGAGCAGCTCTGTGATAAGACAGGGTGAACCCAGGTTTGAGAGTCCTCAGGGCGGGTTCGAATCCCACCTCCCCACTTACTGCTCCATCTCACTGGAGACTCCCAACCTTCTGACACCTCTGTTTCTCTGTATGTAAAATGGGCGCGTTCTCACCTTCCCTACAGGATGTTGTAGAAGAACCCAGCCACCGACTTAACTGGCGGCAGCAAACACTCGTACAGCATTTACTTTGTGCCAGGCACTGTTCTGGCACTTTCCACATAGCAGCCTATTTAATCCTTTGACACGAGGAGAAAAGTACTGTTATTACTGCTATTTACGTATGTGGAGACTGAGGCACAAAGAAATTAGCTTCAGGTCACACATAGCAGTTGACAGAACCAGGATGCAACCCAGGGAGCTACACTGCTGCTCATTGGTGAAGAGGTCTCGGGGGCATAGACGGGGTCCCAGGAATTACACATGACTGGACCACTTGCAGTAACTTGCCCAGCCCACCACATATGTTCTCCCAGAGCCACCCTGTGCCTTAAGATGTCTGATAATTCTTCCAACAAGAGGCTTTGCTAGGGCACAGGGTTTCACGTAGCCTTTGAATTGGGTTAGCTTTCCTTGAGCACCTTCTAAGAGCTTTCCTCCCGGCTAAGTGCCCTGGGGACCCCTGGCCCTGGGCAGTCTATGCGTGACTGAGCCTATTCCTTCATTTGTTACCTGTTGAAGTTCTTACTCAGAGAAATAGTGAGTCTGCCCCTAGTCTCAGGGACCGTGTGGACCCTTGGGGGAGAAAGGCTGGGATGCAGATCACACTCGGGAATGCCAGTGCCGAGAGGGGAGAGCAGGCAGGCTGAACACGGAGGCAGCGGCCCTGGGAACCCCGGGAGCCCTGTTTCCCGGGGCGGGGGGCAGACTTCTGCCAAATCCCCTGTGGAAGTCTGTCTGGATCCGGAGATGGGAGGGCCAGCTGGAGTCAGGATCCCACTTGTTCCACAGGCGATGATGGGGTATTGAGGGCAAAGGCACAGGAGAAGATCCCAAATAAAGTCCTTCAGGGGAGCTCGCTTAACGACGCGCATTGCCACTGCGGTGCCGGTGGGTGCTGGAGTGAATTGGAGACTGACGGGGACAGCCACCATGGGCGGCTTCTGTTTGATGACGGATGTAGTGGATGAGATGTCCACGGGGTGACACAAACGATGCCTACAAACATTAAATATACATTTGGCAAGCATGCGCGCACACACACACAAAGACACACATCAGACACATTGGAAAAGTTGCCTATGGTGGGGGTGATGCAGTGGGACATAGTTGAAAAGGAATGAATAGATAAATAAAGCCAGAGATGTCTTGGGGAGACAAATGTATGTCCTGAACTGAGAAACAGGACTAACTTGTCCTTCAGCACCTGAGGCCTACCACTTGTGGAAGGAGAAAAAAGGTATAGGGGAGTTAGAAAGCCCAGGTTCTAGTCTGGGCCCTGTACTAACGTGCTGTGTGACCTCAGGAAAGCCCCTCTGGGTCTCAGTCTCCATCTGTAAAGAAACCAAGTATCTGATCGATTTCAGCTCTGAGTTTTTATGAGCCATTGTCAATAATCCTGGACCACTTGTTAGAGTAACAAGAGCTTTAGGGAGTGGTAGTGCTTGAAGCCTGAAGGATGGGGGGCTAGGGAGAGTTAAAGCAAAGAGGGGAGTTTTCAGGCAGGAGAAACATAAAAGCAAAAAATGATATAGCATATGGCTATAAAAAGGCTGAGGGCTCGGTGTTTCAGGCGGGCCTTAGCCCGGCTCTCCCCTGGGCCTCCCTAGCCTGGCTGGGGTACCACCTGCAATCCAACAGCCACGTCAGAGACTTCCGGTCCTACCCACTTCTGCGTTCCCCAGTTACCTAATCCTATCTTCCAAAGAACTCACAACCCACCCTAGCCCCAGGTTTGAGCCTGAACTCTGCTCTAGACCATCCTTTCTCCCCTCCCCGAGTGTCCTTCCTCAACACTGACCACATCACTTCTCATCATGTGACCCTTTGGCCTTCCCTGGCCCCCTGTGACCTCAATAGAGGCTCCCCACTCTTGTTCTACTGTTACACCTTTTGAATGTCAACACAGCCATCGACGTTATAGCTCAGCTCAGTAATTATCATCCAGAGAAGGGGGCTGGCCACGTCAGGATTCCAAAGTATTGGAGAGAGGGGACAGTGGGAACCCCTGGCCTCTGGGACACAGCCTCCATCACATCATTCAGAAACCTTCAATCTAGCACACACCTGAACCCTTCGATACCCCCACACTGTTGTAGTCAAGTGCTGGTCTGTGTCCCTGATAGGCCCTAATGGACTGTGACTCCCTGCAGGTGTGGGCTGCAGGGTGACTTTATCATTGCTCTGCCTGCACAGTGCCCACTACGCACTGGACCACGGGGCAGATTCGCTCAATTGGGTTTAATTTGTTTGGCAGGTAATGGCTCTCCCTTTTACTCCCCACAGAAAACGAGTGATTGCTTTCCTTTCCTCATTTTTGGAAGCCCTGCCTACCACACAGCTGCGCTGGACACCCCAGTTCCTCGATGGACGAAGAAAGCCAACTGATCCAGCCCCAAGACCAGAGCTGCTGGGCCACTCTGCCCGATGTGTGCCTACATCGTGTTTTCTGGTGGCTGGGAGACAGGGACAGGTCCAGGGCAGCCCTTGTCTGCAGAAAATGGAACCAGATGATGTATTCGGCTGACCTCTGGCGATATAGGACCATCACGTTCAGTGGGAGACCTTCCAGGGTACACGCGTCCGAATTCGAGTCAGCTCTTTGGTATGTTAAGAAATTTGGTCGCTATCTGGAGCACCTGGAGATCAAATTCCTGAATCCTTACAATGCTGTCTTGACCAAGAAGTTCCAGGTCACCATGCGAGGCCTTCTCTCGAGTCTGGGCAAGAGTAACAACCGCCTGAGGTCTCTTTCCATCCAGCACCTGGAGCTGGACCGCCTGGTCTGGAGGAACAGCATCAGGGGCTCGTTCATCAAAAGC